AGTGGGATATGCAGATGCAGGTTATCTCTCCGATCCAGATAAAGCTAAATCACAAACAGGATATGTGTTTACACGTAGAGGAACAGCTATATCATGGAGATCTATGAAGCAATATTGACAGCAACATCCTCAAATCATTCTGAGATTATTGCAATCCATGAAGCAAAGTGAGAATGTGTATGGTTGAGGAAGATGACCCATCATATCCAATCATCACGTGGATTGATTTCAACAAAAGATAGTCCAACAATTGTGTTTGAAGATAATGCTGCTTGTATCGCACAACTCAAGGGAGACTATATCAAAAGCAACAGGACGAAGCATATTTTTCCAAAATTCTTTCATACACATGAACTTCAGAAGAATGGTAACACTGATATTCAACAAATTCGCTCAAGTGATAATGTGGCTAATCTATTCACAAAAACGCTGCCAACATCTATATTCAAGAAATTAGTTCATGAGATTGAAATGCGTCGACTCAAAGATTTTCAGTGATCAACATCAGGGGGAGTAGCTGTACTCTTTTTCCTTCGCTTAGGTTTTGTTCCATTGGGTTTTCCTGACAAAGTTTTAATGAGGCAGAATTTAATTTTAATACTCCAAAATAACTGTACTCTTTTTCCTTCGTTTGATTTTTTTTCCCATTGGGTTTTTATCAAACAAGATTTTAACGAGGCAGATATTTTGTAATATGTTATTTAAGAGGGAGTGTTGTAAATGTAAAGTCCATTAAAGTTTATTGGTGAATGACATTTTACCCCTGTAGCTCTAGAAATTATTACTATTGTATCTCTGATTCTTACCTATAAATATAGGGCTTTGATTTTCAATAATACACACAAAAAGTTTATTAAGTTTTCTCTATTCTCTTTTCTTCTCATTTTATAACAATATATCACTTTTTCAATTTAAAAGAATAGTTTTCACTTATGATTTGTATTATCTAGTATCACATAATTTAAAAATACTTGTAACTCCTAAGCGGACATACTAAATGATTGAACATTGGCATGTTGACTTTCTACCCAATAATTTTAAAGACCATATAGAATACTACACCTAATAATTGTACATTGTGCATCATCTGTGACCTTCTACCAAATTATTTTAAAGCATGATATACAATAAAATTAGTACTACTACTTAGAAATTGATTCTTATGTGTTCTTGATAATAAACTATATTTAATTTTAAATTAATTTTAAAATAATGTGATTATTAATTTACAAAATCTTTCAAATGCATTATTTTCTTAATCGAACTTTAATATTATTTATACGATTTAATTCCGATCTAGGATCTATATGTGCTAAGTTGGTAAGTTATATGAGGATGAGTTTTGATTAATTATATATATATATATATATATATATATTTGCATGTCGTATATTTAAGTTCAATGAATCAATGGTTGCCTTAAAAAGATATGTATCCCAAACATTTTGTTATAAGGTGCATGTTTACGTCATTAAAGGTGTGAGTGGGAAATAGGGCGTGGGGGACCAGCATACCCAATCAATGTTCAATGACAATGTTAATGGTGACCACTTTGCGGTACTATGAGTAGGACTCGATCAGATTCCAAATAATAATTGCCCATTGCATTCTGATTGGTTAGGCGATACACCAAGTGAGCCCATGATGTCAACGTTAAGTTTTAAAAGAAATGAAAAGAAGGGGATACATATTGAGAAATTCCTTTTTATTTTATAGTAATTCATATACATATCATAAGCATGCATCATGTGCATGAGGTTTGCTTAATGAGTGTTAGTTCATCCCACATTATTCCTCTCTATTTCCAGATGATGAAAGCAAGATGATTCGAAACGACTACTTGTGGTGGGAAGAACTCTGTACTAATACATTTAATGTTGACTCAAGTTGAAATAAGTTTAACATTTATATTGATTATCTTATGTTTTTATTAAATATAAATGTTTTAAAATTCTTTCCTTAAACGAAAGTCGTTAATATTTTTTATGTTAAAGAAAAATTTAAAGTTAGTTTTCCGCATTTATGGTTTTAAGAGAAAATTAAATGATAATACTTCTAAATCTAGGTATTTAGATTTGGGATGTTACATGCACGCTACAGTGTTGCAACATTAGTGACGATAAGATCGAGATTTTTTTTTTTTTGAAACTCAAAAACCCACAAACCGAATTTCCAAAAATTTCTACTTCAAATCTTGAAAGATAACCATGAAAATGCCAAAGAATTTTCAAATTCAACAAAAACAAATCAAAAATTGTCAAATCTGAAAATTCTTAAATTATTGCAAGAGGCAAATTCCATATAATCATATGATAGAAGATCAAATAACCCAAATATTCAGAATTGTTGAAACCTTAATTCTTACCACATGTATGAATTGAAAGGAACCAAAATTTTAACAACCCTTTCACAAAAATACATAAATCCTCCATGTTAAAATCAAAGAAAACATTAAAATTGGAAGCGTATCTTGATCCATAGATTTGAGTGTTTTGAATGGGATTGATCTTCCAAATGTTACGTAATTACCTTAGAAATTCTTTTCTGTTGATGGGGATACAGAGAGATATGAAATCACGTATAATTAAGGACCATGACCCCATAATAAATAACTGCATTAAGCGGCTATTATCTTTGTGTCATTTCAAATTGGCTCCTCATCAACTTTAAATTACATTTTCTGGTCTTTACACTTTATTTCCATGACATTTAATACCAATTATTCCCAAGAGATTAGAGATTATTATAAATCATAAATAATATATACTGAAACAAATAAACATTTTATTGGATAAGGTCATACCATCTGTCGAAACAAAATTGACATCACCAATAAATAAATATTAAAAATCAACTAGTAATCTCTAATCAAATTAATCAATTGATTGAGTTGCATAGGACCGAACACTTATCTCCATGAGCTAATAATTGAACTAACATTATGCCAACACGTACATGTAAAATAATACATTTTGCCTAACAGGTAACATGCCATGCCGAATTGCCAACGAAATTATCTTTCAACTTCTACCTTTATTTCTATGTAAGAATGAAAAAATAAATTTGTGTGATGAAAAAGTGTTCGCTGTTACGAGTAATTCAATTTTAGAGACATACTGAAGAACTAAAAGATTCTCAACGTAACAAACAAGAATTACCTAAATTGTAAGTACTAAATAAATCAAAATTTCTCAAACCCAACGTTGGCTTTGTCCTCAGATGATATAAATTGAAAACAATATATTATTCTCACATAAATTGGCTTTAAGTTATATGAAATACAATTATTCAACCAAGACATTAAAAATAAGAAACGCTCTAATTTAATTTATGAAACCGTTGCAGCGAGTGAGATCTCATAGTCCGCTGTAAACTAGGATATAAGAACCCATCCTAATGCAACACGTGTAATCTAAAGTTGCTTGACAGATACACAAAATCGAAGCTTTTATTTACACAACCAAATTTTATAAATGCAACACCATTTACAACTTATAACGCACAATTTACAAGAACTGATACTGCTTTCATTATATAGTACTTTTGTCAATAAACTACCCAACATATAGCTATTGATTTTTATACTACACACCAGTTTAACAACAGGCCACTTTCAATGGTGTTGATGTGCGTTTTTATGTATATTTGTTTTCATTCACGCTCTAACAAGATAGAAAGATGAATTTTTTCTCAAATTTCAACAGGATTTTTCATGGCCACCCTTCTGCCTCCAAGTTTTTTTGTTATTAGTTCTCTCAGGTTTCAGTTTGATCCTAGCGTTTAGTATTTCACTCTTTATATGTATTTGCTTAGATGTATTGATTCATATCCTGTGGTTTATTTATATGGAGTGTTTCTGGAAGGATCCATTTTTTTGTTTATTTTCTATAGCTAGCTTCAATTTCGTAATTGCGATGAACTTGATCATCTTTATGTCCTGGTATTTCTGGTTCATTTGATTCCCTTGGGTTAGAAGTTTATTGATGTAACTCCTTGTTTTTCTTTTTGTATTAGTTTTTATTACAAATCCTTTGAGGGTTTTCCAGTTTGGTTCTATATATATGTGGATATGATGTGCTCTGGTTTATGGATCCAAAATGATAGGGTGATTTACCGGAACTATAAGTTTCGTGTCTATTTGATTGTATGAAAATATTGTTTCTTTACTGATTTGAAACGTGTGACTGTGAGAAACATATTTTGTTAATGAAATATTAACTTCAAGCCTGTTAATTAATTAATTTTCCGTTCAAGTTTTTATTACACAAGATTCAAGAGTATTTTCATAAGTTAGTGTGGTCCTCTGCCTATGTTGAAATCAGATTCATCCAATTTGTGCAGTTAGTTGAATGTATTCACGCTGAGAGGGTGCTATTAGTCAGCATTTTGACAAATTGTTCATAAATTGACGGTGGAATACCTTACATTGTGATCTTTGTCAGTTTCCTTTTGATATTACGCTACCATGACAAGAAAAAAGGGGGATTAGTTGTTTTTTGTGCGGTTTTAAAGAAGTTGAAGGTGCCAAACAATTAGAACTTACACCAGGATAAGGAGATCACATTTGCACCAAGGAATTCTCCATTATTTATCTAACTATAATTCTTAGGAGATTTTTTTCATTACTTTTTCAAATGAATTTGTGAATCTCTACCTACTCGTGTTTCAAAATTCCTATTCAGTGAACAGTAGAGATGCATGTTTTGTCAGAAACAGACTACCAGGACTTCCGTTCTTCATATATGTTAATTTAATTTTTGTAAAATGAAACTTTTTGTGCTATGACCCACCAATTGAATGTAGATTCTAAAGAACATTTTGTCACCATTTAGTAATAAGAATTTGTGTACTAGTAATCAGAAGGAATGCTCCAACAAGTATGGTTGTAGTGTTTATAGGATGACTGAAGGACTCAATCACTAACCTATAGTAACAGTGGCTGACTCTTAAAAATTTGCATGATGTTACATAGACACTTACTTTTTGAACATAAGTAATGTCATTGATTTTAAGTTTTTCATATAGTAATCAAGACTGCTCTTTGATCTACTAATGGTTATGCTGGATATATGTATATCTTCAACAAATATCTCATTATTTATCAAGTTCTTGATGGATGTAGCTATGAGAACCCAATTGGCCACTTAAGATGACAATAACATGAGAAGTTCATTAGTTTCATTAATATCTTGCATTTTACCTCCATTGAAATTGAATTCTACTGGGTGTTACAGTAGTGGAGGGCTCATTGCTTGCGCGGACTCACCTTCAGAAGGTGGAAAATCAATTGTCAAACTCAATCAAAAGGTACCACAGAAGAAAAAGGTTGTGGTTATAGGAACAGGATGGGCTGGTACTAGCTTTCTGAAGGATCTGGATATTTCTTCCTACGATGTTCAGGTGGTTTCACCTAGGAATTACTTTGCTTTCACCCCTTTGTTATCGAGTGTCACATGTGGAACAGTTGAGGCGCGAAGTATTGTAGAACCTGTTCGAAACATAATAAAGGTATATAAATTTTGGAGTATGAGTTATCCATGGATTTTTTTTACATCATTTAACATAAACGCACATGAAGCGATATGTTATCTAGTTGCACTCTTCATTGGTACAAGTGTGAAGAAATTCCATTAGCTCTCTTAATGCTTAAATAATAAATTCACCGTTTCTTCAACTTCATGATTTTTCCCGATGAGTTTTGTTCGGTAATATAACTTTATTCTCGCTTCTCTCTTTTACTGATAATGTGACAGAGAAATGGGGAAATTAATTTCTGGGAAGCAGAATGCCTCAGGATTGATCAAGCAAACAGAAAGGTTTTCTGTCGGTCCACTATTGATGAAAATTTAGCAGGAAATAATGAATTCTCTCTACAATATGATTATTTAATTCTAGCAATTGGAGCACAAGTAAACATATTTAACACTTCTGGTGTTTTGGAGCATTGCCATTTTTTGAAGGTAAGTCCTAGTTTTCTGAATGAATGTTTAGTATTTTAATAAAGTCCCTGATTCGATGGTAAAATAGCAATAATTTGGATATTTGTGAGCTGAATATTTTTTCCTTGATAAATTTCACTTGTATATGCTGAATTTTTCATTACAAACAAGCAATTATATTCCATGCAGGAAGTAGAGGATGCTCAAAAGATCCGTAGGACTGTAATCGATTGCTTTGAAAAAGCTGTCCTTCCAGGGCTGACTAAAGAAGAGCGGAAAACTCACATCCACTTCGTAGTAGTCGGAGGGGGTCCAACTGGCATAGAATTTGCAGCTGAACTTCACGACTTTGTTCATGAAGATTTAGTCAACATATATCCATCAGTTAAAGATTCAGTGAATATCACAGTAATACAATCTGGAGATCATATCTTGAACTCGTAAGCATCCATGATTTATATTGTTGAAGCTTTTGATGTACTCTAGAGTCGCAACATGACTTTTAAACAGTTATACTTTGATAATTTTCCACATTAAATAGTAGTAAAGTCCATCAAAATCTATGAGATGCTGAAATTTATGTATTCCATTATGTATCCCAGTCCTGAGTAATTAAAGAAAACGGGGAGAACAGAAAGGAGTAACTGAGATATATATTAAAAGTTTCTGTATGGATGTTTCAGTTAATTAAGCCCCTGTTTGATGGCCATTATTGAGAAAAAAATGATGTTTTGAATAGTGGAGAACGTGTGGTTAAATAGTGGGGAAAATTTTTGAGTTTACATGCAAAATATTTTATTTTGTGAATGTGTGGTTGAAAATAAGTATGAAAATTAAAAATTTTTGTCTTAAAGGGTGACTAACAGGGGCTAAAATGTAGATGATAAACAAAAACCAAGTGATAGATCATTTGCATTATGCTAATGGACGTTACAGTTAATTAGCATTTGCATATTGATGCTACTCGTCAAGTCTCAAATTTCTAAATGGCATCACAGGTCTAAACTTTGACTCTTCATGCCTCTGCAGGTTCGATGAAAGGATCAGCTCATTTGCTGAACGGAAGTTTCGAAGGAATGGTATTCAAGTTTTGACAGGACACTGCGTACTTAGTGTTTCTGATAGATTGATTAACATGAAAAACAAAGCTACTAGAAATGATGATTCAATGCCGCATGGGATGGTGGTATGGTCAACCGGTGTTGGCACTCGTCCAGTTGTCAAGGATTTTATGGAACAAGTTGGACACGTATGTTTTATGTTCTTGTTACATATATTGAGACCTATGTACATTTGTTGTTGCTGTTATTGCGTGTAACTATAATGTTTCTGATCTCAATTTAGCTGACTGTTAGATCTAATAACCATTATCGTATATCTGTTATTCTTTATGCAGGGTAGTAGGCATGTTCTAGCAACTGATGAATGGTTGTGAGTGAAGGGATGTGAGAATGTGTATGCCCTTGGTGATTGTGCCACTATCGATCAGAAAAAAAAATTATGGTAATTTAGATAGTAGTAACACAAGATGGGAATTTATTTGTTTGGGATATAGGTTCAATATATTTCTATCAATCACAATTAGTCCTTTTCTGGAGTTTGAAAGTTCAATTTATGAAATCAGAATCTCGTCAATATTACCAAAACAATACTAACAAGGCAGTCACCAATCTCTTTATTGTTATCTCAAGTTTTTATCCTAGACAAATTTTAGTAGAATATGTATGGGATTTTTTACATTAAATAAAAAATAATGAAGAAAATATAACATTAATATACCAGATGATATTGTAATTTTACCTTACCAATTTATATTCCAAACTTTCTAAAAATGGAAGCAAGTGAAAAAGGCATTTCTCAAGTTTATGAATATGTCATAACTCTGCAAAAATAGTGCTTGCTATTTTACAGGGAAACCTTTTGCATGGAAAAGATAGTTGTTGGTTGACTAAACCTGGAATTTCAGAAAGATGTCCTACTTAATTTACTTCCATCAAGTTACACATGATAATTTTGAGATTTTATATGTTGTCTTGCAAATGAAGATACGATTCTTTTACAATGCCGTACTATTGCTTTTCTGGAAGATATCTCGGAAATATTTAAAGCTGCGGATAAAGATAATTCTAGCACCCTAACTATAGAAGAATTCCAAGATGTAATTGAAGATGTCATCATCAGATACCCTCAAGTGGAACTGTATCTGAAGAGCAAGCATCTATTTGACGTAGCTGGCTTACTAAAAGATACAGATGGTAGTGATAGGCTGGAGGTAGATATTGAAGGGTTCAAATTAGCACTATCGCATGTTGATACATAGATGAAAAGTCTTCCAGCTACTGCACAAGTAAGTTTGCTTTGATTCCACTATTTCTATGTCCCATCTTGCCTCTACCAATGAAATAGTTTTGTTTAACCTCTTCTTCCCTGTCAGGTTGCAGCTCAACAAGGTGCATATGTATCGAGGTGCTTTAACATATGGGAGAAATGTAAAGACAATCCAGAAGGCCCTCGTAAATTCATAATTTCGTCCTTTTCGGTACGCCTCTCTCTCTGCCTACCATATTTTCAATTTGTTATTTTTCCCTAAAATTTCTTAATAACTAAACTTCCAAATCAAAAATAATCTAAAAAGATATTTTAAAATTAATGCAAGACTAGTTATGAACTTTTCCCACTTATCCGAAATATTTAGCCTGCTTTCTGATTTTTATCAGCTGATGAGATTAGATTGGATATTTTACTACTGAATCATCAGAAACTTTTATTCTGAGTGTCACGTAACTTTTGGGTCCAAAATTAGCTACCACTTAGCGAAGGACAAAACCGGTTATATTGGACTATAATGCCAGGAGATATGGTGTATAAGAAGTTCGAGAAAGATTTTCTACTTCTTCCGAGGTACAAATTGTTTAAGCAAAATAAGAGTTATTTATTATAAATAAATAAGGGAAATTTCTCATGATTTTTGTTGACTAGGCAAATTGCATTAACTTAGTAAGATCCCTTGGGGCTCAAGCACAAACCAGAAAGGGAAAAACTCTTCATTAAATTTCAGCGAATTTCTATGAAAATTTCCACTTGCGAAGAACCAAAAATTTGGGAATTATAGAACATTTCTGTCAATTAGTTTTACCAAACATCTTTCTGAATAATAAGATGAAGTAATTTGTTATTAAGAATTTATGTGCATTTTATAAATAAATTTAATCAACATCTAACATATAATAATCTAAAAAAAATTCAGTATGTCAGATAAAAAGCGATTCTAAGGAAAAGAAAAATTCCAATGGTGAAGTTATATAGATCAGTTAACCTTAGACTATTCAACATATTTTATGTCGTTTCTTCGTCAACGTCATATAGATCCTTTTCTTCACTCAATCACTCAAGCGCCTTTGTTTTAGTTAATCCGCAAAGGTTTGTTCATGTCATGCTCTAGGTTCCTTTTTCAATGGAGGCCATATCACCCTGAGAACTGTTGTACCTACTTTGCTTCTATGATTTAAACATCTTAAATCTGTTATTTCTTAAGCTGTCATTCTTCAGTGGCGCCTCTCATTTTCTTGTGGCTCAAATTATCTTAGTTACCTTAAACTTATTTTTATCATAGCTGGTCTTGATACATATCCCATGGAAGTTTCATTTCAACTTGAGGAATTGTGTTGTACTCTAATTTCTCCTTATTCCTAACCAAATGAAGAAGCGGCGGATATGTCTCATGAAATTGTGTTCTTCTCTTCGGTAAACCCAGTAGAGCAATTCAATAGCTGATATCAATACACACAGCACATATAGGACTATCCTAATGGAGTCGGGGAAGAAGATTGATGCCAGTGATGCCACTGCCGTATTGCCAAAGAACACCATACAATGGAAAGGGTATGGTGGGGGGTTACCGTGTAAATTATGAGGCCTCATATTCATGCCATATGCCAGAAAAGCATAGAATAAGAAACTAATAATTGCCATATACATCGTTGTGGAGTGAGTAATAAACGGACTTTTGTCTATTCCGTTGTTCTTCACCTGCAATAAAGCAAGCAATGTAGGAACAATGATGCGAGTGCTTTCACGTTTGGAAGTGATTGAAAACCCTGTATGGAGGATATACAAAATCTGGAATCTAATATAGACATTGGCAGCACGAAATTGTGCCCAGGTCATGAAGTTGAGAGAAGGCATTCCCCTTGTAGTATGCACCACCGGATTTTCAAATCCTATAAGAGAAGAGAAAGGAGGAGAGAACTATTGGAAGGGTTTGTTTACGGGGGGGATGGTATTTTAAAGGTCAGAGTTGCTCATGATATGGGTTTGACATTGCAAATGCTCGACAATTATGTGTTGAGAACTTCATAATAGATCATTAAATGCTCACATGATAGATTGGAGAAAACGCGACAAATTGGAGATAAATTAAAATGATCAGTCAAGGTAAATTAAATGCTCACAACGTGACGGATTGGAGAAAACGTGTAACACGAAATTAGGTACCCTACTTTACTATGGGATTTTGTCTGGACTTTATTTTACATGATTGATCACATCGTATCTTGAATAAATGAACAAACATCTAAGAGTGGTTATTGGGTATGTTTAATTCCTAGAAGCATAGAATGAACAACAAAATTGACAAATTGTTCAGTAATTTTCCTAGTGCTATCCAGTCTGTTTACATCCAACTTATTAAACAAATTGAAAAAGGTTTTGGGTCCTAGCAGACTTAGCAGATCCAATCTTAAAAAAAATTGTTTGAGAAACCTAGTGGTTTTGGATGAAGTGTAGAACATACGGATCTTACCATCCAAGACTTCTTCAGTAACCTATTGTCTATTGACAAACGGGGTAAAAGCTATATTAATTTGAAATTCATTATTTGGGGAAAAAAATTCAAAATCACACAGGCAGCAGGAAATACATGATAAATTTTTAGATAACAGCCATCATGAATTTCTGTTGCCACATCACGAGCTACAACTGGTCCGAATGCTAGAAGACACGGGTTCATGTTCACTCTTTCAAAGATTACAATATCATGTTCATTCTAAAACACGGGGGTTCCCAAGTAACGAGAATCTCTGAAAGAGTGAGACCCTATAAACGGAGTAGAATAGGGATAGAAAAAAAAAAACGTTTGAAGTTGGCAATGAATCCATTCCCAGAAGACGTGCCACAACTCCTTGTGCTTTTGTTCCACAATCTGTATCAGTATCACCACTTGCTGATGAAACATAATGGTAATCAATATGGCTTCTAGCATTTGGACCAAACTAATTTTCATAATCAGAAAACATTTTACAATTAATGTAAACCCAAAATAATTGAAGAGACCCAAGCAAATCAACAACTACGCAATCAAAATGAAAACAAAAATGAAAAACTCGCACCTTTAATCTAGCAACTGAAGATCCAATAACCGATAATTTAACTCCCAGCCTGGGCAGTGAAAGATCGAAAAAATTATAAACAAAAAGGGGTACAAATTGCAATCAACCAATAATGAGGTATTATGCAAAAAATACAAAATTACCGGATTATCTTCAACAATCTTCAAATGTTGAAGGCCGATCGACTTTGGAGAAACGAGAAATTTTGATTTTTTCTAAAGATTGACTGATTAATTTGAGCCGCAGATTTTTCTTCTTCTATGGTTTCATTGGTTTGTAATTTGAATCTTATATAGTATAAATAAATAATATATTTATTTATGTATGATTTGCTCAATAATCTTTGGCTTGAGAAGGAAACAATGAATCAATCAAAGGAAAAAAAATCAAAAATGAAGAAGGCAAGTAGGAAACCGAGAGATAACTGATAAGGGCTGGGTTCCATATATTTTATCAAAAAGAAAAAAATAATAATAAATAAGAGAAACCATATCAATATGGGAACCGACGGTTCCCATACAAGATCCGGGAACCGGACCAGAACCGGCTGGTTCCCGATAATAAGTCCCAAAACCAGTTTTTTTTTTTAAGAGGAATCAGAGCCGAACCAGCCGGTTCTAACCGGTTTCGGTCCGAATCCTGGAAAAAATGCTCACTCCTAAATTCAAGATACGATGTGATCAATCATGTAAAATAAAGTCCAGACAAAATCCCGTAGTAAAGTAGGGTACCTAATTTCGTGTTACACATTTTCTCCAATCCGTCACGTTGTGAGCATTTAATTTACTTTAACTGATCATTTTAATTTCTCCAATTTGTCGCGTTTTCTCCAATATGTCACATGAGCATTTAATGATCTACAATAAAATTCTCAACATATAAATGTCGAGCGTTTGCAATGTCAAACCCATATCATGAGCAACTCTGACCTTTAAATACTATCCCCCCATAAACAAACCCTTCCAATAGTTCCCTCCTCCTTTCTCTTCTCTTATAAGATTTGAAAATATGGCGGCGCATACTACAAGGGGAATGCCTTCTCTCAACTTCATGACCTGGGCACAATTTCGTGCTGCCAATGTCTATATTAGATTCCAGATTTTGTATATCCTCCATACAGGTTTTTCTATCACTTCCAAACGTGAAAGCACTTGCATCATTGTTTCTACATTGCTTGCTTTATTGCAGGTGAAGAACAACGGAATAGACAAAAGTTAGAGGTTCAGACAAAAGCTGGATTTCTTGTCACTCATGTTTTTCTTCCTCTATGTTGTTTTTAAGTTTATTTTGTATAGTGTTCTACGTCTGTGAAATGAATGATTAAAGAATTTAGGATTTTATGAGTAAATCCTAAATTTTCCGTTTTAGTTTTCTTTTGAAAATGGAAGATGGTATGTATTATATGTAACAAGAAAAGAAAATAAAAGATATAATCTGTTGTCTATCTTATTCAAGGCAAAAATATTTCTTGGCTCATTACCAACATCATGTGTCAATGGGATCACTGGCCAAAAACTTCTAGTCTAGCTTGTTAGGCGTGTTCTATGTGTGCAATTGCTCTTAATGATATCTTAGGTGAAAATTGTTGATTCCAAGAAAGGAATGCATTTTAAGATGACAGATATGGAGTTATGCATTTATCCTTCAATTAGATGATATTAATAAATATATAACCAAAATATTGTACACAATGCTAAATATCTTACGAGTGATGTCCATATGCTCGTAGAATTTTTCTTATTTGCAGCAATAGATTTCAAATGATCAACAAAAAGGTACTAAATGTTGAGGCCAAAGGTTTTTTTTTTTTTTTCTTTTCTATAGATTGCTACCACATTACTTACTCTTTGATTTGATTCTAGTTTCACTATTGATCGAGAAATTTGCTTTATTTTGGTAATCAAAAGCAAAATAAGTAGAATTTTTGCTTCTTTCGATAGTGATTGATTGGAATTGGTGAGAAAAATGGTGTTATATATAGAGTCAAATCAATAAGTAGAAATTTTGCTTATTTTGGTAATGTACAGCTTGACTTTTCAAGATTGAGATTGCTTCTATTTCGTTTCTCTACAAGCAACAACAATTTATTTTGTTAAGATCGGAAAAAATGAAAATAAACATGCCTCTATGTTGAGAACTTCATTTTCAGATCAAGAATTCAAGATACGATGTGATCAATCATGTAAAATAACGTCCAGACAAAATCCCGCAGTAAAGTAGGCTACCTGATTTCGTGTTACACGTTTTCTCCAATCCGTCACGTTGTGAGCATTTAATTTACCTCGACTGATCATTTTAATTTGTCTCCAATTTGTCGCCTTTTCTCCAATCTGTCACATGAGCATTTAATTTACCATGATTAGTCATTTAATTTATCTCAATCTATCACGTTTTCTCCAATCTGTCACGTTGTGAGCATCTAACTTACCACAAATTTGAGAAAACATGATAGATTGATATAAATTAATCAATCAATCATGGAAAATTAAATGCTCACAATGTGACAGATTGGAGAAAACGTGTAACACGAAATTGATCACATTGTACCTTGAATTCTTGATCTGAAAATGAAGTTCTCAACATAGATACATGTTTTTTTTTTTTTTTTTTCATTTTTTCCGATCTTAACAAAATAACGAAAATTGAAGTTCACAACAGTTGATTAATACATGCATATAGAAGTAGAAAGAAAGAGCAGAAGATAGACAGATGACTATTGATTAATACAAGGATATAGAAAATGGCATTGAAAAGGGTCTTGATGATCTGCAAAAGTCATTAATTCAAGAAGCTAAGTGTCGATTCTGAAGGAGATGATGAGATCGTAAGCAGAAAAAAATGGCTCAATTTGGATGGTGTTCATAAGTACTTTTCTAGCTGTTTGTGGCTCTTTTGAATTTGGATTGTGTGTAAGTAAATGCATATAAATGTGTTCATCTGCTGAATATTTATATTTATACATAAACCAGACTTTTTTTTTCCAAGAAAAGAGCTCGTATTAACAAGTTTCTTCTTTTTTTCTTTGTCACGACCACCAAAAATAAGTAGGAAAATCTTTAGCTTAAGTTAATTTCTTTTGCAGGTGCGCTACTCAGCACCCCACTCAATCTGCTATCAGACAAGACTTAAAGCTATCAGTAGCCGAGCTTCGTGATATCGTGATAAAAATAATTAGATTGCCAATTTTCCAAGATGTAATTTTAAATAATTAGCTATTGTTATTAATGATTGAAGTTATTGTTATAATTTAAACTATGCATCTATATATTTTTGAAAGTGACTAATATTTTTAATTCCAACGGATAAAACTTTCCTTCAATTGGAAATTTTGATTATATTTATTTAATTGTAATTATTTATAGAAGTAAGCGGACAATTATCTAATAATTTTGATTTAAAATTCACAACTTATTTGACCCCCAAGTAGATTTAAAAGTTTTTATTATATATATATATATATATTACACATTTTCAATTTAAAAGAATAGTTTTCACTTATGATTTTTATTATTCAGTACCACATATTCTAAAAATACTTGTAGCTCCTAAGCGGATATACTAAATGATTCTACATTTGGCATGTTGACTTTCTACCCAATTATTTTAAAGACCATATAGAATACTACACCAAATAATTGTACATTGTGCATAAAATTGGCACTGCTACTTAGAAATTGATGGTTATGTGTTTTTGATAATAAACTATATTTAATTTTAAATTGATTTTAAAATTATGTGATTATTAATTTACAAAAAATTTTGTTAATTATACATTATCTCCAATCAGCTATACCAACAAAAACATTGAGTAATTGAATTTTGTAGTCACCGTGTGGCCATAAATAATAACAAATGTGCTTTATTAAAGATTGTCAATCCCACATTGAATGTGTTTTATTGAATTTTGTTAATCCAATTTGAAAGTTTGTCGGTTATGGAACGCAAGAAATAGATATAAAAGAGATCTATAGGGTTGAAAATTTGGTAAACGGGTTTCCATCTCTAAGGGAGGTTTACATACCTTAAATCCTTAACAAATTAAATTTTTCAAATGACAAGTGGAGATTTCCCAAGCCATCCACATACAATGTGCCAAGAGTCCTAAGTCATAATCATTAATGTAAAACTTCCACATTCTAGTTATTTATTATGATTTAAACCACTCCAATACAACTAGAGCTAGCTATTACACTTTATATATTGATATTTATAAGGCTGTTCTTAATGTAAACACACATAAAACTAAGAGAAATTAATATGAAATGACAAAACACCTGAACTAACATAATGGTATAAAACTTGTATTAATGTGCAACCAAAAAAAAAAAAAAATGGGGAAGCCATACCACAGAATTTTGAATTACACTAACATTTGGCAACATTTTTCTATTGAAGTTACAAACAATTAAATTTTATCAACCCATGATCATGTTTCCGTAGCTAATTTATTTTGAAATAATGGACAACGTATAACTCAAATGAATGGAGGGCATGTTTGGTAAATTTGATAAATGTTTACTGGTAAGTATTAAAATCCAATAATGTTGACAAGCCCACGCATGAGCCAAGAGATTCTATTTGACATATTTTAACATTATCATATCTATTCTATCATTAACAAATGAAATATAAGGATTTTCTACATTGACAAGTTTATTTTAAAATGAAGCTGTTACAATCAAAGTGTGATAGCAATACAGCGACTACTAATTTATAACACCAATAGCATTATAACCATTGTTATCTAGATTACGATTAAAGAAGTCGTTAAGGGATGAAAGCATAAAAATATATAGACACACGTGCGTACAATACATTTTATATATACATGTGTGTAAAATCAATAACATACCACTATACGCATGATTCAATATAAGATGTCAAGATCTCATTATGTAATTAAGCATAAATAGAATCACAAGATGATATTAATAAAAATAAATAAAAGAAAAAAGAAAGAGTAATCACCCTAGTACGTTGGGTACAAGAGGCTGATGACTTCATAAGCAAAAATAGAGTAAGGGAGAAGCATTCCTTGGATGTTGAACGTATTTTCCTTGGGGCATAAAGAATGTTTTTTCTATTATAAGCAAAAAGATAAGTTATTAGGGAAAAATTTAGCATAATTTGTGTTAATTAACTAATTAGCAATTCATTAAGTTGACTCGTAGGTTGTTTCCACTACTTCAACACTGTCCCAATATAAATCAAATTAGAATAGCAGGAATGAATTTTAAATTTAAGAAAAGATATAAATGTTGCTAAGGTCAAGCGTATATGTACAATTTATTTATTTGCAATCTATAATATCATTCAAAACACAATTATGTTTACTTGAATTATATGCATATTACAATTAATTTTAATTGACAAGTCAATTGTCTTAGACATTAAGGTACATTCCGTTGCAAAATATAAGGTTGGTAGCAACGATGTCA